CCTTGCAACCACTAATAAACTTTGGTCTCTACGCATTTGCTTATTCTAGATATTTTATGTAAGTGGAATCATACAGTATTTATCCTTTTGTGACTGACTTATTTTATCCAGCATCATGTTCTCAAGGTTCATCCACATCGTAGCGTCTATCAGAACTTCATTTCTCTCTATGGCTGAGAAATAAGTGAAATTTCTTTTTGCCAAATCATTTCTGTAAAGCTTGAGAAAGAGACTGTCTTACCAAACCAAAGTAGGAGAGGGTTGAGCCGATGTACACAATCAACTGGATAATGTCGAATTTTCCTCCCTGGAAACAGAGTAAGTTTACTCGATTGGAATTCAGAGCAACGCTCCTCGGCTGCAATGTGCAATTGTCAGGTTTAGCAGAGAGGGGAGACTGGGGTGCCTCGAAAGTGCTCACTGCTGTCCTCAAAAAGGACTTTTTTCCCTAAGCCAATTTGAGTTAGATTATGTTACTTAGAAACTACTTTTTAGAGTGATTTCGTTCTCTTTTTTTTTTTAAGCATCAATATTTTTAAATTGAAAATTAGAATTTCTCCTAGTCCTACTCTTGTACTTGTCAGATGACTAGCTCATGGGCAGAACCCCAGGGGCGTTTCTTCCTCCTCTTTCTTCTCCCATGTTTGAAATGCACAGCGTCAGCCAACGACTCTGAGCAGAAAACGCACTCCTTGGAGGCACAATGACAATAACCAGGACACAGTCAGGATTGGAGGTGCCAGGGGCTAGGAGCAGACACTTACGATGCCAAACACCAGGATGTCAAAACGGATCCCAAAGACTTTTATCAGAGTCCGTGTTTCAAAATTCAATTCCTTATAGTACTTGGCGTATCTGTAGAAGGAAAGGATCCGTTATTTATAAAAATGTTTCTGAAAGTTCTGGCATTGTATGAATAGAAACACCAAAACAGGATCTGGTCTAGTCTCCCTGATCCATTTTCTAGGTCTGGGATATTCCTAGGGATCTGTATTTTCAGCAGAGGAGCCAGGTGATTCTGCTGCAGCTGGTCCATAGTCCGTACTTTGAGAACCACTGCACTCTGTACAAGGATGTGCTCTGCACACGTTCCCATTCTGAACCAGAGAAGGGCATTGCGGGTTCTGTGCGGGTCTGCCCCACTTTAATAAGTGTGCTATAGATAAATCACATGTTCACTGAATAAGGACATTTTGCCTTGGGTCTTTCTGTAAAGGGCAGAATTTCTTAATGTGATTGTTGTTGTTGAGTGCCATTGAGTCAACTCTGACTCATAGTGACCCCATGTGACAGAGTAGAACTGCCCCACAAGGTTTTCTAG